TGCCCGCCCCCAGCCCCCTCCCCCTGGCCAGTAGCCCGGCTGGGAGCGTGCATTCCTCCCAGAGCGCACCCCAGCCAGCCCCTGTAAGCCGCCTGGCTGCGTAGCACAGTGCGCAGGGGCACCGCCAGCCCAGTCTGCAGGAGAGCCCGGCATTCGCTCCCCCGGCACTGGCCAGCTCCTTCGTACCCGAGTGGCACCTTGGGCCCCCTCCGGAGCCGGCTGTGACGGGCCCCTTGGTTGTCCCCAGCACGGTGAGGAGGTGTCCCCCGCTGCCAGCGACCTGGCCATGGTGCTGACCCGCGGCCTGAGCCTGGAACACCAGAAGAGCAGCCGGGACAGCACGCAGACCACCACGCCGTCCTGCTCAGAGGACACCATCCCCTCGCAAGGTACCCTCCCCACGGCCCGGCTCCCTGCGGGCACTGCTGCAGGCACCCCAGGGAGAGCCATAGGTCCTTTCTGCCGACGGGGGCCTGGAGCTTGTGTCCCCCGGCACGGAGGCCGGGACTGGCCCGCACAGGGGTTGCCTGCCAAGTTGGGCTTTTCTGGGAGCGCTTGGTACTGAATAAATAAAATCCGGCTCCTTGCACAACCTGGAGGATGCCGCAACATCAGCTTTGTCCCATTTACTGCAAATAAAGAGGGCTCCACTTGTTCACCGCCTGTAGTTTGCCATGTGGCCGTGGCCGTGGCCTGGCGGAAGGGCTTTGCTCTGGTTTGTGCCTGTGCCTGTGGGGTAGGGGGTCGTGGCCATCTTGTAAGTGGCGTGTGTGTTGCGTGATTTTTGTGTTGTGCTCTGGTTCCTTATTCCTGTGGTGTTATGGTTGTGTCGTGTAGTGTGGTGGTTTGATCGTGAGGCATGAAATCTGGTTGTTTGTATTGTGGGTTTATTTGTAGTCTGTTGGGCTTGTATTGTTTGTGATGGTGTGTATTTTGGATCATGCTGATTGTGTGTCCTGGTGTTTTGGCTTTGGGATGTGTGGAAGTGGTTTTGTTGGTGCAAGTTCTGTTTATGTCGTGCAGTGGTGTTTGTCTTTCTGGTGGTTATGTGGCATGTTTTGTGGTGGTGTTGTGCATGGTGTGGCTGGTTGTGTAGGTGGAGGTCATGGTTTGTGTGTCATGCTGACATTAGTGATTGTTGTGCATATATTGTGGCTCTGGTTATGTTGCAACTTGCGGTGGTGTGGTTGTGGCATGTGTGTGTCATGCTGATGCTATGTGTTGATTATGTTACACTTGTGGCTATGGTTGTGTTGCTGCTGGTGGTTTTATGGCCTGTGCGTGTCACACTGATGCTGTGAGGTGTTGATTGCGCTGAATGTGAGGTGTTTGTCTTGCTGGTGGATGTGTTGCGCATGTTGTGGCTTTGGTGATGTTGCTGATGGTGGTGGCATGGAGTGTATGTGTCCTGCTGATGCTGTGTGGTGCTGATTGCCTTGCATGTGTTATGGTTGTGTTGCTGGTGGTCATATTGCACATTTTGTGGTTGTAGTTGTTTTGCTGCTGCTGGTGTTGTGGTGTGTGTGTATTGCAGTGATGCTGTGTGTTATTGGTTGTGTCTGGGGTTATGTTGCCGGTGTGGTTGTGTTGCTGTTGGGAGTATTGTGGCATGTGTCACACAGATGCTGTGTGTTGGTGTTGATTGCATTGCGTGTGTTGGCCTTATAATGTTGCCTGTGTTGCGCTGACTTTAGATTTGTTGTCATGGTGTTGCCCACATTTCACTGATGCCACGTTGTGGTGTTCATTGCGTTGCATGTATTGGCCTGGTGGTGTTGCCCATGTGCTGGCACTGTGTGGTGGTGTTGATTGTGTTGCGCACATTGGTGTGGTGGTGTTTCCTGCGTTGCACCGATGTTGCATTTGTTGGTGTGGTGGTGTTGCCTATGTCGTGCTGACTGTGTGGTGGTATCAATTGTGTTGGTATGGCAGTGTTGTCTGTGATGCATTGACTCCACGTGATGGTGTAGGTTGTCTTGCATGCCGTAGTATGGCAGTGTTGTCCATGTCGCGCTGACATTGCATGGTGTTGTTGATTGCATTGCATGCGGTGAGGGGGCGGTGCTGCCTGTGTTGGTGTTGATTGCTTTGCATGCGGTGGTGTGGTGGTGTTGTCTGTGTAGCACTGATGCTGCATGTTAGTATTGATTGTGTTGCATGCAGTGGTGCGGCAGTGCTGCCCGTGTTGGTGTTGGTTGTGATGTAGCGGTGTTGCCGGTGTCGCGCTGACACTGCGTGTTGGTGTTGGTTGTGTGGCCTGCGGTGGTGTGGCGGTGTTGCCAGTGTCACACTGACACTGGGTGTTGGTTGCGTGGCATGTGGCGGTGTTGCCGGTGTTTGCTGACGCTGCGTGTTTTCCCCAGGCTCGGATTACGACTGCTACTCGGTGAACGGTGACGTGGAGTGCGACAGCCAGAGCGAGTTTGACAAATCCTCCACCATCCCGCGCAACAGCAACATCGCGCAGAACTATCGCCGCATGATCCAGACCAAGCGCCCTGCCTCCACCGCCGGGCTGCCCACGGGGCCCCCCCAGCCGGCCAGCGCACGCCCTCCACCAAGCCCTCTGTACGCCGCACCCTCTCCAACGCCGGGCCCATCCCCATCCGGCCCCCTATAGTCCCGGTGAAGACCCCCACGGTGCCCGACTCCCCTGGCTATGCGGGGCCCACCCGGGTGGGCAGTGAAGAGTGTGTGTTCTACGCCGACGACGCCTCGCCCAACGCCATGGACTTCGCCAAAGCCTCCCCCAAGAGGCTCAGCCTCCCAAACACGGCCTGGGGCAGCGGTGCCACGGAGATCTCGGTGTACCCGGGCACCGCCGGGCAGCACCTCTCTGCTGAGGAAGAGGAGGACCAGCAGCTGGCTGCCAATCGGCACAGCCTGGTGGAGAAGATTGGTGAGCTGGTGGCCAGTGCCCATGCTCTGGGTGAAGGCCAATTCCCCTTCCCCACTTCTCTCCTGGTCCCCAGCCCTGGGGAGGAGACGCCCACTCCGCCACCGGCTGCCTCCCCTCACCCCTCATCCGGCGTGGGGTGCGCCTGCGCAGGACCATCACCAACGACAGATCCGCCCCGCGGATCTTGTGATAAAACTCCCCCGCCTGCCCCCCGCAGCCGACGGGAAGAGAGAGACCAGGGTCCGCAGGAGAGAAATCCGCCCGAGCATCACGGAGCAAAGCCACTTTCTGGAGCTAGAGCCGAGTCTCAATTTTCAATGGAAATGAAAAGTCTTTGCTCGCAGACTGGCAAGGCGCCTGGCTTGGGAGCCTATTTTATACTGAATTTCCCACACCCTCCTGCTCCTCCTCGCCCCCAGCCCCTCCCCACCGCCCGCCTGGCCGGGACACTGCTCCCAGCCAG